TGAGTTATATAATAATATGGAATTATATATTATTTTTATTTGATATTAAACGGAAGTTTGCAATTATTTATTAAGGTCATGTAAGTTTTAGTGTAAACATTTGTAAAATACTGGGTGCATCTTAATTAAACACTAAAATTATTGTTTTAATTTGTAATAAAAATGGACGTTTAATATGGGTATAATATATTATTATAGTTGTATAATAATTTTTTTAATTAGTGTAATTTCAATGCCAATAGACCAACTATTATATGTACACCGTGCATATATTATGAAAAATATTTGAATACTATAGTTATTGTACGCAATAACATAATTTGCCAAAAAATTGAAGCATTCCACATTTAACAATTAAAGAATTATAGTGAATAAAATTAAATACAATAAAGAAAAAAATCGTAGGTGCCTTAATATACCGAAGTTATTGCGTATTAAAAAAATGATTTAATCGATGGACCTGACGTATATATTTAGGATGATAAAAAAATATACTTTAGAAAAAAAAACAACCCGAAATACGTCTAATATAATCGAGCGATTTTCTCGGTGCGAATAATAGCAATAATAATATGGCAGCTCGCGTCCCGTTATAGACGAAAAATAGCTACGCGGACTACTCACCTATATATAATACTGTATAGCTAACCGAAAACGTTTTATAAACGTCCATCGGGGCTCGGGCGAGAGTTTTAATAATAAATATAAAATAGACCCGAAAAAAGAGAAATAAGAAACCAATACGCGGGGTGGCAACGGTCTAATGGATTTAAGGTGAAAAAACCGACTTTGATATATTTAGGAGAGCCAAATACTGCAGCCGCACACATGCACTGACATCATATTGCACACACAGACAGACACGCGCGCACACGAATATATAGATTGAAAAGTAGGAAAAACGAAAAGGAAATTGAAGCGATATATTTTCGCGTGAGGGGTTAGCCGCCGGTCGTTTCATTAATATGGAAATGGACGAGGAGCTATTATTGGGTTCGCCGCCGCCCTTGTTGGGTTTTTGAACGCGCGTGCGTTATGATTGATGCGGAGCGAATTATTATTACATTCGGTGCGCGCACACTCGCCTGCAGACGGTAATATACAGGTGAAAGCGCATAATATGTGTGGAAACGCCGCCTCAATGACGACAAACCGCGCGAAACTTTTATTATTTGAGTCCCGTAGTTTGCGTGTAAACATAGGTTATAATTTGGAGAATTTTTTGGAAAACGTTTTTTTTTTCATTGAAACGATTTCATAATACAAACATCAGGGTACGTAGTGGAGGAAGAAATTTTGTGTGAGGCCGATTCCAATATAAATTATAACATATAAGCGAAACTTAAAATGTTGTTTCGGATAAAGCAGAAGCATTTTTCTGAACAACAGAACCTATATTATTTGATTAAATTTTTTTTTTGCCATCGTGGAATATAATAGAAAACATATATATATATATATATATATGCTTAGAACACATTTTTTTTAAACCCCACACCGAAATTTATTGTGCTGCACTAGACAACTAATACTGTTATTGTAGCATAATAGTATGTTTTAATGGGCGTATCCGCAATCTGTGCTTGACAAATATTATATAAGTATAAAGTAAGTACATTTTGTTTGTAAAACAAATATTATAAAAATAAATATTTATTAGTTCGTGTAATTATTTGTTTGCCTATACTCTTTAGTCTTTAGCATTAAATTTAACGTTTGGATCAATATAACAAATATGAGTACAAGACGTACAATGTGTCAAAAAACAATAAAGAAGTCGCTGAAAATAGATTGTACATTTTATGGCTGTATAACTACAGAAAAAACATTTTCAAATAGTAAATTATTGTCAAAAAACGTTTGTGTAACAATTGCAGGTTACATGTTTATCATCTATATACCAATAAACCTATATCGTATTTGTATAGTTAAATATTTATCAGTAATACTAATGTAAATATAGGGCATATTAGGGTAATTACTAATTAGAAATAGTTATTACTTATGTAATTATATAAAGAATAGTTATCATGTGAATAAACAGAAAACATTAAAAAACAAAACTGCGAACGTATCGTATAACAGTATTAATGTAAATCAGTTATTTGTGTTGGAGTGTTAAAAATTGAATAATTTAAAATATGTAAGTTATTTATCTTCCGTGAGTCCGACAGTATTTTATCATGTCAATTGTTAGAAAACATATTATTATATTTGCTTAGTAGTTATACAGTTACTAGTTTATTACTAATCAAGTAATAACACTATTATTTGATAAAATAAAATACATTTATTGTAATTTTCTATTCTATCTGTTTAATCTAGAATATTGGTAGTCTTTTATATCTACTATTTATTTAACGCTCATCAAAATATGTATTACAAATTCTGAACAGGTATAATACTATGTATTTTAACGGTTTATTCAATTAAAAATGCTACCGGCACTAGCTTAAGACAAATAACTCAAGTATTTTAAATCATACAATTCATAACAATACAAACAACAACTGATTTACATTAATATTGTAACGATACACGTRGTTTTATGTAATTTATTTTTATGTTTTCCATCTATTTACATAACTTATATTTATGTAATTACACGTTGTTCAYATCATGAGTAATAAAATAAACATGTGTATTATCGCGTTTTCAACCGATATGTGCAACTAACTCTACATCAACGAAATTGTCTATTTTTTCAATAACAGTTGCARCACGTGCAATAGTTCTTTGAATCGTTGTGCTCGGATTGAAGATGAGTGATACAAAACTACAAAATAAGGTAARGAAAATAAAATACCCGTCCAGGATCAGTCTGAGGGGTACCARCTTTAATGCAGTTGTGTAAAAAAACGTGACCAGACTGCAAGAACGTGTAGGAAATTGTCAACAAAATGCGCATACATGAATGGGAATTATATTGTTGCAAGGAGGAAAAAATAAAGAATTGTCTGTTTACAAGAATTTATTGAAGAATTTCCTAGTTCGGTTGAGAAAATATTTTTGTTCGATGTGGTCCGGTAACAATTTTTTTTTAATATTATAAAGTACCTGTTAATTATTATATTTCCCGTTATTTATAATAGGTAATTAACTATCGCTTCCCTTCTATCTTTTTTATTTCCTACCCAGAGAAATATGGTTTTTACGAATATATAACTCTAACTATTACCACCAGCATCACTCAATATTAATTATGCTTTCGCTGTGACACGTAATATACCATACATTTGCATAACTGATAAATGATAATCAACAGTAACATTCATGTAGATACCTAGAAGGTACTTACTCGTTTCCGATATTGAATTTCTATATACGTGCAAAAAAAACTACACTATCTGAATTGTAATCTTATTCGGAATAAAAACAACGTGTGCATTTACGCGTTTTTATGTACATTATACTACATACACATTTATTACTAGGAATAAAATCGCATAGAACTTTATATCCATATAAAAAGAAGTAATTTAAAATTAAATTAGATTTACGCTTGTCTGTATAAGACATGATTAATGAGAACGAGYTATAGTTGTTCAGGTTTCAGTTATTTCAACAGTAGTGCAAGTCATTTTACATTTTTATCTTATTGGATTCATATAATATGATGCAAAGATACATAACAAAAACACAAATTTTCTTATATTTTGATTTACATACCAATGGAGGTAGTTGGATACATATTCGTTTCATTAAGATATTTCGTAATACGCATTTTGGGTGATTTAAATTAACAGAGTACAATAAAATCACTAGTATTCACGTTTCGGTCCATTACATTAATACTGGGAAGCCGGAAAGAAAGCAGACGAACAACCACCTCCCGAGAAGTTCGTGACATACCGAAAGCATTAACTMGTGCTCAATGGTAGACCGTTTCGGTTTAATAACGCAATTTGTCTTATACGGAAGATCACGATAATCTAATTAGATCAACATAAATATAGGTATGTTTTTACGGTTTGGAGGAATAAAAATGACCGATTGTTAAAATTTCGAAAGACAACAAAAATATCGACAACGGATGCTTAACGAGAGTAGAATATATATCGTTTTTATTGAACCAAATTATCGACACGGAGAGTGAAAGTAACATATTATAACATTATAATACACAGCCGTTTATTGCTAATAATGAGCGTGAAATTCAGAGCCTAAAATGTTTCAATTTTTTAGGTTTTTTGTTATTTTTAATTCCATATTACAATGCCAAATTCCATTGTCAAATATCATTCGGTCGTCTATCACGATTCGTCGTCTGCGGTCCAGTCGAAAACAATACACGAAGCTACTACTTCATTATTTCATTATTTTTTTTTTTTATTCCATAGACCTCTAATAGACTCTCATTAATCTGTGCCGTGTTTCCCACGGAGTTAATCCTTTTACTTGTACCGATTCTCCAGTAAAAAAAAAAGTCGGCACAAAACACTCATATAATAATATTCTTACACAATGCATACTACACCAACCAACGTATATTATTATACTATATATAATATAATATAATATGCAACATTATATATATATTTATATATAATATACAATATTATATTATATCTAGACACAATAMACTAACCTGGGCCAACATTTTACAGGTAGTCGCCCGTAGGGTAGTGTTGGTGGTGGTGGTGGTGGTGGTAGTGCGTTGGCGCCAGTTTTCTGCACCCGAGAGCTATCCATTTTACCACGAGCAAACATGTTTTAGAAGCATTATATTCTAAGATGAGACCTAATAACCATAAAATATCGTCGATATTTTTCGACCGCAACGATAATAAAAATGCCTGGTTCACCGCCGATACAAGAACACAAACACAATTATGTTTGGCGAAATAAAAAAATGAAGAGGAGGGAACCTAAGCACTGTTGCAGTGATGAACGGACGCACGGTATACATTCTACGTCAATGTATTGTTGTATGATATAATTTAGATATGTAATGTATAAGTTTGTGTAAAAAAATTATAAAATATCATTTTAAAACTCACCATCTCGACAGTAGAATTTGTGTTCGAGATGCATCAGTCGGTCTGAAGTGTCTAAAAAAAAAAAAAAATGAAACATATTATAATATTTAAATATATATATATAATATAGTCTATAATGATATAGTTATATACACGCAGACCAGATTTCACACACTATTTTAAAGAGAAACTATGCAAACGAGAAAACAAGGTGAACGACAGTTTCGCAGAATAAAATATAATATACCTACAACTAACACCGTATATAAAATATATTATGATAGTCCGATTAAATATTTTAATTCCGTATCGTATTCAATATTTCGGTAGGTATTTGAGTCATTCGTCTATAGGTAACAGTCATCCGGTATTCACGATATGAATCAAATGTGTTGACGTCACCATACAATATGTTTAACCCATTAAATCATGTAGGTACCTATATACGCGTTATCATATTCAACACAAACATAAAATAATTATTTAATAGGTATTGTACAAAAATGGTTCCTATGGAATTTTGTTAAATTAAAATATTATAACTATTATTGTTTACTATTTTGTTGGATTTTTATATCTTTTAGGTACCGATTATTTTCGTTAAAAGTTATCGGAATCGTATTTTCGAAGTTATATAGCATAAAGAAGGCGAAAAATAAAACCGCGACAAYTGACCATTACGGCGTTATAGACTTTTACTTATCTAGTTTATAAGAGTGGGGAAGATTAATAATCATGCACAGAGTCGTGTGTGTGTCATTAGCGGGGTCCCAAAGTTTGAGGGGAGGTGGGGAGAGATCGAAAGGCACACACTCGTTCGGTCTAATGATATTTTAATGAGAAACAGAATGGGTTTGAAGCATATATATGTAAAGAATATTTCGTCGTTAAGCAATACGATATTATTTCTTTACCTCTCTTTCTTTCTGGTTCTTTTTTTTTTAATAACGCATGATTCAGCCCCGCGTGTCAGCCATGAATAACTAATGGCCTTCTCTCTAAACACTTTTTCATTCTTCCGGGGCTACCGCGGTTGTTATTATTATTATCAACTATTATTATTAAAATACAATTTTCGTCTATTCTAATTACGCGCCGGTTTCCATATATTATATCCACAGACGCTTTTATACACAATTAAGACCAAGGATTTCTTTCGGGCCCTTTCTATCTCGCCGCTAATGAATTCCTAACGCTCAGTATAATAGTGTGTGTGTGTTTTTTTTTGTCCATCTTAATGCTTTTTTTTACATATCAGACCGCCGCCGTCGTCAACGTACATGTATAAATATATTATACACAATAATAATATATACACGCATGAGCTACCGGGTGGCACCGAAATTCGCAGCAATAAATTCCACTGTAGAGACCTTGACTTCATTTCGAGACTCCCTAGACATATGCATACAATAATCGCTTTTGTCTCTATCCCGGGCCCGGTAATACTTCTCTCGGTAGGATCTCGTCCATTGTTGTGGTTTTCGTTGCTATGTGTGTCAAGCATTCGAACTCGAATTCACTTTTCGAACGCTGAAAGCGTCCCGCTGGCCCTATAAATCCTATAGTCACGTTCAAGGGAATACACACATATTATGTGAATATAATAAGGTAAGGTGCGCACTATCTATTCGTTGAATAAGTTACTGCAAGTACRCAAATACAATGGAAAAATAAAGGTTATATAGGTACAAATATCAAAAATATTTGATATACCTAATAACGATATCTTCGAATCGCGGGCGTATCATAATATGTATAGTACCTGATATTCATTCTTAAATATTGTAGTTGAATGTCGAGTAATGAAATACAGAGGTAACAAATTTYGCACGTATGTATAAAGCGTAGGTAGTATTGTATTKTGATATATTTAATTTTTCAGGCGTATCGGGCCGGGTATGTAATAAATAATAATAATATAATATAGGCAGTGTTATATTCGCGATAGAGATAATAATATTATTACATATAGTGCAGAGCCGAGCAGTCTAGATATCATTATTCTCAAGACWAATTTTACTCGCGGCCGAGCACACTATATAGTATAATATGGCAGACACCGATAGTCAACAGTGGCGGCGGGAAAGTAATAGCGTTTGATGTTGGTACACAACTATATATTATATATATGTACCTACATACATGTATAATATTATAGCCACCGACACTTAATTTCGTTTTCAGGCCGCGCGTATATTACCCACCTGTATATACATAGATACTAACCTAACCGTTTAGTATAGTCGGTCGTATACCGGCTATTATTGTACGAAATAGGCATAGTACAGATTTTGAAATTTGTAAAAGTGAAGAACTCTGGACTCGCGCGGAGAAGAGGCGTTTATATTATTTTTCCTCTTTCGTTTTGATTAAGCGCACCTGTCTCGGCGGGCGCGCGCGTACGTACAATGTATGTATACGCACATTATACACCTATGTATAATAATAATTGTATTATAGATATTACATACAGCGCTAGTCTTGTCGTCGTCAGTATATCATATTATTATTATTTATTATATCGAGTGCGCGAACGTTCAGTAATGAAGACGTAGACGCCGCGGACGGATTTATATTACGTGCAACGCGGCGGCGGCGGCAGAATCATCGGCCGCCGTCGTAACACTCTTAACATATATTATATTATATCATAGGTATACATACAGTAAAATAAAAACATTCCTAGGTGCCGGTCGCCGGCCTCGGGGGCCCAGTCCATCTTCCCGCCACCGCTATAGATCGTGTGGTTATTTATTTTTTTTTTAAATATATATTATGCACCTATACGCGCATATCTATCATATGTACCTATATTGTAATTTTTTTTTTCCTTTCCGCTCTTTATACGCGTTTGACAGACGACCACCGAGCGTACAATATCTATGACGACAACGACTGCAGCGGCTGCGGCGGTGATTAATCCCTTGCGCGATAATTGGACAAATTGAAACGGCGCGCCGCCGCGGGTAACTTGTTCACACCGTGTCGTCTAGCTGTACATGCGTGTTGCCGCCCGAGGAAGTATACACTTTTTATCATTATTATTATGAGCGGTAGTTGGACGCGCACTTATACCTACACATTATTATTATTATTATTATTATTATTATAATATATTACTTACCTATATCCTACCGTTGTAGTACCGTACTAAAATACACAACGTACGAACATATGTAAGTGTGTGAGTGTGTGTTTAGTGGCGGGACGGACGAGCACGTTGGCAATATTATTATTAACTGAAGACGACCGGTGCGCGGTGGGGCAGGTGCGGAAACGACGGGGGCGACGAGTCCGCGAGAGACCACTGTCGTCGAATTATATAGGTATATAATTATATTATTATATAACATTATAAATGGATAGCACTGTCGATGGTAGACGCGTGAACATATTATACACTACACCGAGTGGCGGCGACGCGACGGTCACCCGTCGATACACCGCGATTGAAGGTAGACGAGGTGGTACACCCGCGCATCCAGTACGGGAGAGTCGAAACGTTTTTATTCTTTTATGCACTTAATTTTTTTTTCCACTCAACTCTGCAGATCGCCTTTCGACCCCGGTGTTCAAAACCCATACGATATTGTTTACCCCCGCCCCGCGCATTGTTTGCAGTATTTAAAAAATTGCCGGACTACACTAGAGAAAAACACCGAGCTACAAAACCAAAAACTATAGTACTTTAACCTATACCTACATACGTTTTATTATTGTTATTGTTTGACATTGATTGCGCTAATTACAAGGACTTTCTAAATAATGTTTTATTCACAAATAATTATAATTATTTTGCAACAATGCAAATTGAAACAACAACTGATTTTTTTCAATAGCTTATGGATGCTATTTTATTAATAACTTATTACTAAATGTCAACACTTAAATTTTACTCATAGAACATCGCAAAAAGTATTTAATACTGAATTACAAGACATTTAAATGGTAAATATTAATTTGTATTCTGTAGTGCCAACATGGACGTTTGTAAGTTATAAATTATGATAAAACAATTTTAAAAGATTTAAATACCAAATTTGATATTTTTCTTTGTACAGATTTCTCTCCTTGATTTTCTTTTGTGTCACTACATCAATCTGAATACATACATTATAATATAATAATAATGGAATTGAGAAAAACCGCATGTGGAATGATATTATTGTCCATGTCGGCCATTGGTCGAGACACCAATAAAGAACGCATTTTACTAACAAAAGAATAATTACCCGAAACGGATTACATATATCGCCGGCATTCTTGCACGAGTCACACAATCGATGACAAATAATATTCTTAATGCATTTTTATATTTTCTGTCTTGCTCTTTCTAAGACGTTCGTCTTCATATATACTGTATTCATTATTGATAACTACGAAGGCCTTACACACGTGTACTGTGATGCGAGTGTGTATGTGTGTATGTATGAAAGGAGAAGCTAATTCCGAACAAATTGTGCCGAGTCATTACCGGAGTAGAAATAATACGTTTTAGCTTCTGGGCTTTTAACCAGACACTTCTTTTTTCTTATATATAATAATAACGTATTCATAATGCGGACGCCGGCCGTCTCTCTCTCTTTCTCAGTACCTACATTTAATTATTTCTTTTTATTTCCCATTATTTTACTAGGTTTTTTTACCCATTCTTATACACATACCACCCTTCTGTCTCTTGTAAAACTGAGTGCGAGTCCAATTTAGATTTTTCGGAAAAGTGACTTTAACGCCCCAGGCTTTGTCGTGAGAACGAAACAATACCGACACAGTCATTCGGCGAAACCGTATATGTATGTATATTTATATTTATATAACGATATCTATCTTTGAATACGATTGTATAAGGTTGTTTTAAAATACACATAATATATTTTAACATCTTCTGACTAAAATCTGATARCAAACCTGTTAAATTGACGTATCAACAGGTGGTATACAAATATTATATGAATGCATTTAAACGTCGTGGGCCCGGATGCAATCTACAGGGATCTCGGGAGAAGAGGCGCCACCGATTTTAGTTATTATTATTATTATTATTATTATTGGCACTTGTCCGGGTTCAG